ATAGTCGAGCCTTTTCTTTTATATATGTTATGTGTGTTACTGTACTATTCCTTTTTCAGTGTTATATTAGCCGCCACCTTTTCTGTCTTCGTAATGAGTTTAGTTATTGTTCTGAGCGGATTATCTTGATAAATAAAGAAGAAGTAACATCTCATTTTAAAAGAGCTAGGCTATTGTATCATCAAATATATTCATTTTCAATAACATTAAGATAAGAAACAATTCTAGCCCGAGTCGCCGTTGCACCCGGGTCTTGTATCTCATCCTATCGCACATATATTCTAGGGGGTCTTCTAGAGCGCCCCTCAAAAAAGCCGATTTTCTAGCAAAAAATCCCTTACTGAAGTAGCGAGAAATTTCTTTTTTTTCTTAAACGGCGCTAGACAAACTAGAGAACAATTGCGCTGAGCACAGTTGAGATATCGAAAGACTGTGTTGCTTTGATAGGCAAAGATTCGTCGCCAGCTAGTTTTCTCATTCATCCAACCATCCATTTTTCGAAAACAAACGAGTTCGAAACGAAATTCAAAAATACCACGGAAAAAAGAGAAAAAACTTATTTTTACCTTTCATTGGAAACGGCGCAGCGGAAAATTTTTTTTGTAAGTCCGAAATGCATATACCTTTCACCTCGAGCCGTCTAGGACTAAATCCAGATAAGTTTAGAGGAAAAGAACTTCCAACAACCCTTAGCTATCACAGAAAACCTAATCTCCTTTTCAAAATTATTCTAACTGACGTACTTTCTAGACCATGTCGTGACGCTTTTGCAGAAATGATGACTAAAGAAAGAACAAAAATCACTTTTATGAATCAAAAATACGTAATTTCTTTCGATATAGAAGCCACATTTTCAGACCGAAAAATCGATAAAAAAGGGGTCTGCTGACGTGTTTTTTGCGCTATTAGCTTAAGGGGGTCTTGTATTAAGGGAGGTCTTCTATTGTGTCCATCCCTTCAGGAGCTTCTTTTTAGAGAATTTATCTAGAAAATCTGACCCTAATCTACTCTTCGTTTTACTTTATGTAAAAGCAAAAGATCTTGTATGGATTGAAGATACCAAAACATTGGCTGATTTTCCGCCTCTGAACAGACCCAGAATCATTGCAATTGATTACAATGATGGTACATTGTACACTGTTGCCTATGGCGATAATGGCAGTGTTCTAAAATATGATCAGAAAACTAGTACGGCTACAAGACCATTTGGACAATTTGCACGTTGTGTGCATATCAATCAAAAAACTCAAAATGTATACATGGGGACGGGATCTGGAACTATACTTCGATTTGCTCCAGATGGAGCTGGAGAGACCGTAGTTGCTGGTGGTAACGGTCAAGGTACGAATCTGGAGCAATTTCAATATCCATCTGGCCTGACCATGGTTCAGTACGATAATCTGTACATCTCAGATCATACTGTTCATCGAATTACGAAATGGGCACCGAATGCCACACTTAGTGAACTTGTTGGTGGTGTGGATGGGGCTGGCAATGATTCGACTCATTGACAAAGCCCAGTAGAAATATTTGTCGATTCTCTGCACGATATGCTCTATGTTGCTGATTTTGGAAATCATCGTATTCAACGATTTCATCCGATTGGCAACGTAACGGGTGAAACGGTAGCGGGTAATGGTGCACAGGGGATCAGTCTGTATCAGCTTTCAAAATCCAACGGGTTTAGCTATTGATACGGATTAACATTTGACTCGCATGGAAGTTTATTTCTTGTTCATGGAAATGAAAATCGTATTCGTAAATTTAATCCTCCTCCAACATAGCAGTAAAGATCCTCTGTAGGCTTACTTGAAGAAAGGACTATATGCGTACAGACCACATGTCTTGATTATTTACGATCTCTTGTGTGTAGGCTTTTTGCTTTTGTTTTTTACGGTGTACTTTTGAACATGATTGTAAGTAGACAAATCGAGTCATTATGTTCGGAAGACCTAAAAGGGAAATATTTCTTCTAAAATTAGTTTTCCAGTGAACGTGTGCTATCTTGAACACTGATAGTGTAAAATTTTCATACCATAATGTGCTGCATGAACTTGTGCTCGCTATTTGCAGATTTGACAAATAATATTAATAATAAAAACAGCACAGTATTAAGTGCGAGTGCTAAATGTAAGAACTTTTTGAAATCAATAAAGTGGTTTTAGATGTGATCACCTTGTGCGAACCGGACAAGAGCAACACACAATGCGGTAAGTCCGACAAATATCGTTTATAACTGAAGCTGGATAAAGATATCAATTTGTACATAAATGAACCGTCTTCGAAATGACGAGCAGGCTATCGCTGTGATAGCCAATGAAATTTGCTCTCATTTCTTAGTTATTCGCCAATTACTAATAGACACATCTGCCTGAAGGTTGATATTGATTGTTGCGGTTGCATACCGCAAGTGTTTTGAATACATGACACAATGGATTGATTCATTGGCACGTGCATACAACAAGGTTTATTTAAGATATTTATACTTTTATCTTGGTCCATCGGTTTATAAACGTAGACGATTTAATATGAAAAAGTGAAAATCGTTGGTTTATATAGATTGTCATTCTACTGAGTATCGAAATGACGTAAAAGATTTTTTTAAATTCGAATGGTGAAGATGAATGTGTCTTTGCCCTAATACATAAAGAATTTCACATTTTATCCTTGATGGGATTTTTGCAGTTCTAGATTGTTCATAAATTTCTTCTGGTCGACATGCAAGAAGATGTAATTATTTCTAACATAATAGATTGCATAATAAAGGTCAAAGAATTTTACATGTCTCGCGACATTCACCAAACTGAACTTCATTTGATTGACGGTCAGCTAATAGCATTATTGAATTGTATGGCAAATGTTGATGTACAACCATTAGAATATGACACTCTTAGAGAGAAACTGGACACCAGTTTAATATTTGATTCATGATACTAACTTTTACGAAATATTGAAAAATCATCAAAAGTTGTAATTGGAAACTTAATTGACAAATTAGTAATTCGTACTATGTGTCATATATCGATAATAAATTTACTTGGTACACATACATCTGTGGTAAAGACATGTATTTAAATGGCTTTCAGTTCATCTATATCCGTTTTAGAGCATCGAATGGAAGAAAGATTCTGTGTTTACACACGCTTTGTGTTCGCTTGTCCAGCCCAAAAATATTTCAAGCATTAAGTTTATTTTTGTATAATAGCTACGCACAATTACAATATTGAATGTATTTTAGATCTCTAAAAAATCGTTTGACTGTAGCAAGCTAAAGAGAAGTGGAAACCATCTCCTCCTCAGTATATTTTAGATTATCCCAGAGAGTTTGAAAAAGGCCGAAATCAACATTATTATTTTAGATATGAAGAAGACAGCATCATTTTGAGAATGACACGCGAGGTTAAAAATGAAATAAACAAGTATAAATCGCATCTATGGAACTCTTTTCTCTCGTCCATCGATGAACTTCGGGACAACACGGTTCTACGTTTCGGTCAGATGTATCTCCTACATAATGTCTAAAATCTCCGCCCTTTCCAAAACTAGCTGGAACAGTTGTATGCATGAAAACGAAATCAGTAACAAGTTATTTAAGTATAAGGAGATGACATTACAAATTACCCAGCTGAATTTCTCAACAGCCTGACTCCTTCTGAATTGCCTCCTCGTAAACTGACACTTAAAGCTGATGCTGTCATTATGATACTTCAAAATTTTGATGTCAAACAAGGATTATGTGGTGGCACCGGACTCATTATCAAACGTCTTCAGGATCATTTTTTGGACTGTGAAATTGTAACAGGAACAACAAAATGACATGGAGTTCTAGTGCGACGCATCACGCTTACTCCTTCAAATAAACCCCTTCCCAGTATAAAAGACCACCCTACAATAGAAGACTATCACTAACTAAAAGACCAGTCTGAAGCTTATGGTTTATTATGGTACTCCTTTAAAGTCCAATTTTTAAAATAAAGATTCAATGAATAAATCCAAGCGATATCTCATCTGATAGAGAATTTTACGGGCTATAGAACAGCCTACCTGAAAATCTGTTTGTACCCCCACAAGAAGTTCAAGGTAAAATTCATTTTCGGAGAAAGTGACAGTTTGTGGAATATCCGGAAAATATAGATTCCTATAAGAATTTTGTGAAATTCGCATCTCGTTCAACAAAAGGCGTAAAAAGCTGAGAGATGTCTCATTTTGATCAGAATGTTACGGGCTACGAAGTGGAGAGGGCGAAAAAGTGTTCTAAGGAGATCGTGGGCTTTGGGTCGGAAAAAGCGGTTTCTGACAAATATTCTAGGAAAAAGAATAGAAAGATAGTCCGTGGTCTAAAGTATAAATTCATAACAAAAGATAATTCTTAAAGCTCGCGAAAATAGGTGAAAAAACTTTATTTCTAAACTTGATCAGAAAGGCCGATTTAATATATAGATCACTTTTCTTTATGAAAATGCAGTGACAAATATTCATGTAAAATTTTCGTAAATAAAATTTGAATCTCATTTATTACCATTAACTCAATCTAATAATGAACGTGATTCAGAATCTTGTTCTATCGTCTCCAACGATGAACTTATATTAGATATTGAAAGTACCATTAGATTAGTTAGTGGTATTACAAATATTAGTATATCTGATGACAATGGTTCTGATAATAATGAACAACAAGAAGAGCCTGGTAAATTAGAGACATCAACAAAATCAATAACAACTAAAATAAACGATGATTTTGCAACAAATTCAAATAATAAGCGTCGTGCATGGAGTGTACAAGAGAAGCTTCGTGCTACTAAAGACTACCAAAAATGTATGAATTTTAGTCAAATTAGTAAAAAACATGGTAGTAGTACAAAATGCTTAGAACATGGTCGAAACATGAACAACTTCGTACAAAGGGTAAACAATTTAAACGTTTTAAAAGATGGTCGATGAACAACCAACTACAACAATTAGAAAAGACCGTGTTACATTTAAATTATTAGTTCGACAAGGTTCAAGAATTAAGGCGCCCGTAACTCAAAGATCAAGAGTATATTATATATAGCCTATTCGACGCAGAATCTTACGAGAGTCCAGTCAGCCAGCTAGACAAATATTCTTACTTCAGTTTCTCTCAGTCAAGCAGGAGAAGAGAAGATTAACATAAATGACGTTTACACTCAGGACCAGAATGTTCCCATAAAGACTGACTGTATAAATTCTACACACTCATGTCGAGGTACTAAACGAAAGAAGTAGAAAAAATGAAAAAGAAGCAATGAAAAGTAAAGAAGAGTAAAATAAAGTATGATATTGTTGTTAGACATGGGCGGGACTGAAACCGGAACCAGGCACAACAAAACTGGTTCCATAAAAGTAAAACTTTCGTTGTAGAAGCAAATTCTAATGTGAGTTTCGAACTCGTTTTACTGTCAAATTTTTTCTTGCAAGACCGTAGAAAGCTCTACAACGCAGTACAATAGTAAAAAGCCGCATTGAACTTTCCGTCAGCAGGAGAAAATCTTTTCATGTTCTATGATCAAAATTTTCATCGGAATCATACAATTTTCTACGGAAACGGAACCAAAAAAGGCTGGTTCCAACCATCTGTAGTTGTTATACGTATAGAAAAAGAGGAAGATGGAAGAAAACAACGATAATAATACTGAATGAATAAATAAAAAGAAATATAAGCTTGATATTTACGCTTATGTATGACTATGTTTGAATGCTGTGTAAAATTTTAAGTAACCACAAGTGAATTTTTAGTTTATGCCTCTCAATACATTATTTAACACAGTGTGATAAATCTCACTTGTCATTTTTCTGCATTCACTTATTTCCTGTATTTCTCAAAAAACTTTATTAACTTTCCAGTTTTCGAAGGAGAAAAATCCTCTCCTGTTCTTGTTTTTTGAAGATAGATAGTACGAACCCTGCTCTGAGTTGTCTCATATCTCATCAGAATTTGCTTCTAAAGAAACAAAAGGTTTGCTTTTTTTGTGTTATGATAGCATTTGAGGAAGGTATGATGGTGCAAATTTTGGATGTTGTAGATGTTATGGTGGGTAAACGGCAATTTAGACTTTTAGACTTTCTTCTAGAAAAGGTCAACATCCAAAAGTGCTCAACCTGGAGTTTGAGTATGGTGACTCCCCGCCAACGGGGGGGGCCCCCCCGGGGGGGGGGGGGGGGGGGGGGGGGGGGGGGGGGGGGGGGGGGGGGGGGGGGGGGGGGGGGGGGGGGGGGGGGG